AAACTTAAACCATATTAACAATTAACGTTAAGTGTAGATGGTCCAAACACCCCAATTACAGGGTCGAGATGATCAGGTTGGGTAAAAAAAAAAAAAAAAAAAAGCAAGACCTAACCATTTGCTGCCAACAAGAAATGCTCTTTAAATACAAAGACACAAATAGGTTAAAAGTAAAAGTATGTAAACAAAGAGGTGCCATATGATAACACTGGTTAAAAGAAAGGTGGAGGGGCTATATAAATATGGGACAAAGTAGATTTCAGAACAAAGATACCAGGAATAAAGAAGGTAATTTCATAATGATAAAGGGGTCAATAAATGAAGAAGACATAACAATTCTAAATATGTGTGTGCCTAATATAAGAGCTTCAAAATACATGAATCAAAAACTGACAAACTGCAAGGAAAACTAGACAAATCCACAGTTCTAGTCAGAGATTTCAATACCCTTCTCTCAGTAATTAATAGAACGAGTAAGCATAAAGTTAGTGAGGATACAGAAGAAGTGAACAACAACCAAATTGACCCAGTTGACATTTTTAGAACACTCCACCCAATAACAACAAAACACATATTTTTTTCAAGTGCACGTTGAGTATTTACCAGGATAGACCATATTCTAGGCCACAAAAAAAATCTCAATAAATTCAAAAGGGTCAAGTCATACAAAATATAGTCTTTAAAAACAATGGAATTAAATTACACACCAACAACCAAAAGATCTCTGGAAAATCCTCAAATATTTGAAAATGGAACAATCCACTTCTAGATATCCCATGGGTCAAATAAGAAATCAAAAGAGGGTGCCTGGGTGGCTCAGTTGGTTAAGCGACTGCCTTCGGCTCAGGTCATGATCCTGGAGTCCTGGGATCGAGTCCCGCATCGGGCTCCCTGCTCGGCAGGGAGTCTGCTTCTCCCTCTGACCCTCCTCCCTCTCATGCTCTCTGTCTCTCATTCTCTCTCTCTCAAATAAATAAATAAAATCTTAAAAAAAAAAAAAAGAAATCAAAAGAGAAATTAGAAAATATTTTGAACTGGATAAGGATGAAACCACACATATAATTTATGGCATTCTGCTAATGCAGTATTTAGGGGGTAATTTTTAAAGATTTTATTTATTTATCTGTCAGAGAGAGAGAGAGACAGAGCACAAGTAGGGGGAGCGGCAGGCAGAGGGAGAAGCAGACTCCCCGCTGAGCAGGGAGCCTGATGTGGGGCTGGATCCCAGGACCCTGGGGTCATGACCTGAGCCGAAGACAGACGGTTAACCAACTGAGCCACCCAGGCAGCCCTAAGGGGGTAATTTTTTTTAAAAATATATTTTATTTATTTATTTTGAGAGAGAAAGAGAAAGAGAGAGAGAGGGAGAGAGAGAGTGCATGCAAGAGCTGGAGGGAAGGGCAGAAGGAGAGGGGGAGAGAGAGAATCTTAAGCAGGCTCTTCCACGCTCAGCGCAGAGCCTGATGCAGGGCTTGATCTCACGACCCTGAGATCATGACCTGAGCCAAAATCAAGAGCCGGTTGCTTAGCGCAGTGAGCCACCCAGGTGCCCCTTAGCAAGTAGTTTTTATGCACTAAAAACCTATATTAGAACAGAAGAAATGTCTCAAAACAATGACTTCAGCTTTCACTTCAGGAAAAAGAAGAGCAAATAAAACTCAAAGTAAAGGAACAAAAATAATGAAGATCAAAGTGGAAATCAGTGAAATAGAAAACAATAGAGAAAGTCAACAAAACCAGATTCTTCTATGCCAGTGTTCATAGCACCATTATTCACAATAGTCAAACGTTGGAAAAAAACAAAACGTCCATCAGTAAATGAATGGTAGCTAGAAAAGTCAAATTCATGGAGACAGAAAGTTGGTTTCCAGGGCTGGAGGCAGAGGGGGAATGAGGAGTTATTGCTTAATGGGTACAGAGTTTCTGCTTGGGATGAGAAAAAAGTTTTGGAAATATCAATGGTGATGGTTTTGCACAACATTGTGAATGTACTTAATGCCACGGAATCGTACACTTGAAAATGCTTAAAAGGGCAAATTTTGTTATGCGTAGTTGCCACGATTTAAAACATTAATAATGTAACATACAAAAAACACACTGAATCGTACAAAAATTTTTAAAGATTATTATTTTTATTTTTAAGCAATCTCTACACCCAAGGTAGGGCTGGAACTTACAACCCCGAGATTAGGAGTCACAGGCTCTACTGACTGAGCCAGCCAGGCACCCCTGAATTGTACAATTTAAATGAGTGAATTTATATCTCAGTAAAGCCGCTAAAAAAGGAGTGCATACTGTATGATTCCACTTACGGAAAAGTCTGGAAAATGCAAATTACTATGGTGATCGAAAGTAACTCTAATTCGCTCACTTTCTCATTTTCTTTTACCGCCTCCATTTTTCCTAGTACTTCAGTTTCCTGCCTGCCTCCTTATGTCAACGTCGGTCTTGAGGAGGAAATCGGGGTCTGGGGAGGAGGGGGCGGCCTCACTGTGCCAAGGGAAAGAGGGGCCTTGGGGAACCTCTGAACCGAGTAGCTTGTCTTGGGGTCCGCACCTGGGGGCGGGATCGAAGTAATCCTCGATTACCCCAAGGGGCAGTCAGTCTAGAAGCCCGTGACTCGCAGAACGTGGGGCTGGCGTTGGACTCCACTTCCCAGGAGGTGTCGGGGCACCCAGCCGAGACTGCGTCTGACGACGGGGGTGGGACTCGGGAGCTGCCCGGATGTGGCGCCGAGCCCGCCGAGCCCGCCCACCCCGGCGAGAGTCGCGCTGGACGCTGTGCCTGCCGCGGTCATCGGCGCGGGAGGACGACCGCTTTGCCAGGTAATCCTTAGGGAGACTCCCCGCACCCAGCGCTGCCCCCCGCCCGCACCCCAATCCCCCGCGCTTTTCTTGAGTCTCCCCAGCCCGGGACGGCCGCGTTAGTCTGTGAGCCGTTCCTGGGATGGAAGGCGTTGGAGGGTGGGATGAGGTGGATGCATACGGGGGAGACTGAGCCAGCTCTTGCTGCTTGCGACTCGCATGTGGGGCACCTCTCTGTCCCGGGCTCGCGAGTCCCTAGGAAGTCCCGGAACCCAGCAGCCTTGGTGGAGAAGGATGCGAGCGAAGTGCCGAGCGGGCTTGTGGGGCTCTTGCTGGGTCACTACCCCTGCCTCCCTGGTTTAAGTTTCCAGCCGCAGGATAGTCTTCCCCCGGCTCCGGTTTGGGGAGCGTTCACGGGGCTTCCTTCGGCCTCGAGAGTCCCAAAGCCTTCTGCGACTGGACTTGAACCAAAGAAGTCAGTCTTCAGTGTGAAAAAGCTGCCGGGGTTTAGTAGAGGAGCTAAGCTGTGGAGAGTAGTGAATACAAATGGGGGGTCTTCTGCTGAATTGTTTTGGTTTCAGAGAGTTACAGGGTGATTTCAAGTGGATTAGACCCAGACTTAGGGAAAGGGTGAGACTTGGAGGAGAATGTGCTAGAAACGGTAATCCTTTGAGCTGCGTTCTTGTCTTGACTCTTACTGGGTCTTTTACATTGTATCCAACCTAGGAGAAAATTGACTCCTATGCAGACTGTACATGTGAAGGAAGGATACTTTGTCAGACGAGGTTGGAAGATTTGGAAGAAACTGTAATTGCAGTTCACTGTGCATGACTGATTGGGAAGGGCACTTTCTGGGGGTGCTGGTTTCTGCAGCACCAGCCCTCTCCCAATTTCCAATCCTAGAGGCATACCTAAAGATCTCTGAGCTGCCCTGGTATCTACTTCACGGTGCTACTGGGAGGCTTAAATAAGATATGTAAAAGTATTTGGCACAATGCCTATAACAAGCTCTCATTTTTTAGTTTCCCTTTGCTTCCCCATAGCAACTTTCCCCCCCTTTGAGCCATGCATTACTTTGTATTCTTGTTTGCCTTTTCATATGAGTCCTGCCTTTACCACAAGATTGTAAGCTTCTAGCAGTCTTTCTTTTTACTCTTTTTTGAGTCCCTTCCAGCAATGCGGTACCCATGGGAATACCCGGGAGACTGTAGATAGTGGTGGTGATGAGGAGGGGAAAGCTGTAGGTGATCCATAACAGGACAGCATCGTGCTAGATCCCGAGGCTGAGGTAAACAAGCTTTTCTCATTTGCCTTTCTCTTATAACTCCTAGCCTTCTCTCAGAGCTCCAGACCCTTTAAAAATATTTTTATTTTTAGTATTTTAAACCATTTTTAAATATACAGTACAGTAGTGTGAACTATATGCATATTGCTGTGCAGTAGATCTCTAGAATTTCTCATCTTGCAAAACTGAAACTTTCTTTTTTAAAGATTTTATTTATTTGAGAGAGAGAGCATGCAAGCGTGCCAGCACGAGTGGGGGGAGGGACAAGCAGACTCCCCACTGAGCGTGGACCCCCCCCAATACGAGGCTCGATCCCAGGACCCTAAGATCATGACCTGAGCAGAAATCAAGAGTCAGACGCTTAACCGACTGAGTCACCCAGGCACCCCACAAAATGGTTGAAATATTCAACCTTAAAAAATATATATATCTCGGGCGCCTGGGTGGCTCAGTTGGTTAAGCGACTGCCTTCGGCTCAGGTCATGATCCCAGGGTCCTGGGATCGAGTCCCGCATCGGGCTCCCTGCTCTGCGGGGAACCTGCTTCTCCCTCTCCCACTCCCCCTGCTTGTGTTCCCTCTCTCGCTGTGTCTCTCTCTGTCAAATAAATAAATAAAATCTTTAAAAAATATATATATATATATCTCACATTTTCTTTATGTTTTCATCTATGATGGTCTTTAGGTTGCTTCCACCTCTTGGCTCTTTTTTTTTTTAATATTTTATTCATTTGAGAGAGAGAGATACAGAGAGAGAGAACATGAGCAGGGGAAGAGGGAGTGGGAAAAGCAGGCTCCACACTGAGCCAAGAGCCCAATGTGGGGCTCAATCACAGGACCTGGGATCATGACCTGAGCTGAAGGCAGACGCTTAACCATCTGAGCCATCCAGGCGCCCCCACCTCTTGGCTCTTGTGTGTAATGTTGCAATGAACACTGGTGTACAAGTATCTCTTAGAGATCCTGTTTTTAATTCATTTAGATATATTTTTTAGTATTTTTAAACTTTTTAACTATGGATAATTCCAAACATACACATAAGTAAATAAAACAGTATGATGAACATGTGGGCTGAATAAATGAGTCAGTTAATTGTACAAAGGAGCCCCCCAAAATACCTGGGAGTTTTCCTGAACCTCCCTTTCATAGAGAGTTTGCTATGGGTGAGGATGTCCTGGGCTTTGTTTCAGACCTGGGATGTTCTAGCTGCCCTTCATCATCTAGGCCCTCAGCCATCAATGTGGCTTGAATGCCCATCTGCAGACCATATATACTAGGAGGGTTAGTAGATAGAAACAAGCAGAAATGAGTGTAGATGCCTTTTCCTAGTTACAGAGATGAGGAGCTGAGCTTGCGGTGCAAAGTGGTCTTTGGGCCTAAGAGTTTGCTCTGGATCAGCAACTCCCTCAGATGCACAGTTGTCCTGAAAGCAGTCACTTGGAAGAGAGACGTTGGATACCGGATGATACGGAATAGCAGACTGGGAAGATGAGTTGTTCACGCAGGAATTGCTATAGGAATTCAGAGGAGAAAGAAATGAATCCAGACTGGGAAAATCAAGGAAGGCTATTCTCAAAGAATGTGGTGGTGACTTTACCCTTTTTCCATTGACCTTGTATGTTTGATCCTTACGCCTGTTCCTAGATGGAAAAAGATAGGGCTGATGGTCAGTGAATACTGGAGCTGAATTACACTCCGGACTTTTAGCTGTGGGACCCATGCTAATGAAGGCTTCTAGGTGGAATGCCTTGCTAGTCAGAATTGGCTGTGTGGGATGAGAGCTACCTCTAGTGGGCCTGTGTGAAGCATACTCAGAAGGCCAACTTTTCTTTTTTTTTTTAAGATTTATTTATTTGAGAGAGAGAGAGAGCGCACAAGCAGGGGGGAGAGGCAGAGGGAGAGGGAGAAGCAGACTCCCCACTGAGCAGGGAGCCTGATGTGGGACTTGATCTCAGGACCCCAGGATCATGAGCTGAGCCAAAGGCAGATGCTTAACCCACTGAGCCACCCAGGCACCCTGAAGGCCAACTTTTCTTTACTTTGACTGAAAATAAGGTGTTTTGTTTTGTCTATGATATGGGCCTAATGTAGACCTTAGCTAGTAAGACAACAGGGTGAAGGATGTATCTAGTCCCCCAAATTCTCAAGGTGAGAAACTAATTGATTCTCAATTTTTTTAAAAGACTTTATTTATTTATTTGAGAGTGAGAGAGAGCACGAGAGGGGGGAGGGTCAGAGGGAGAAGCAGACTCCCCACTGAGCAGGGACCCTGATGTGGGACTTGATGCTAGGACTCCAGGATCATGACCTGAGCCGAAGGCATTCGCTTAACCAACTGAGCCACCCAGGCACCCTCAATTTTTTTTCTATAATCAAATACATATGACAATTTATCCCCTTTCCTCCATGTTCTGACACTTGAAGAAGTTAATACTATCATAGGATCAGGTCTGAAATTAGTGCAGTAGCTAAGAAGCTAAAGGAAATGGAGTGCTTTGTGGGCACTGACAGGGTAGGGCATTGATAGGGTTTTAATATGGGGGTATAAATGTGGGAGCTCATAGTAAACATACTTCTTGGAGGTCATTTGTGCCTTACCATTATTTCTCAAATACTTGGTTCATGAAGAAATGGATGAGAAAGTATGGTGGTGGTATGACCAATGGTTTTGCTCAGATAAGGTGGGAGGGGATGAGGTCCCTGGTTTGTCTAGCATTGTAATGACATTACAGAACTTTTGCCTTCCCCAGAACAGAAGAATTATTATGAAGTCGTAGTAGTTTCTAATACTTAATGAGTACTTTCTATCTGGCAGGCAGTAATAAGTACCACACAAACATTCTTTCATGTAAGCCACGGGTGAAAAGCCTGCCCAAGCTGACAAAGCTTAGAAAAAGAAAGGACTGGTTTTGGACTCCAGGTGGTCTGACGTCAGAGCCTGGACTCTTAACTCCTCCTCTGGATGGCTAAGTCTGACTGGCCTACCTTTCTCCAAGTTTATGACGTCACTGTCAGGAACAGAGGTTTCTTTGCTGAGTCTATAGCCATAGACCCAAAGTAAGAGCTATATTTCTTTTGTTTCAACCTTTAGAACCTCCTTCTACATCAATGTGTTTTTTTAAAGATTTATTTATTTATTTGAGAGAGAGAGAGAACATGTGCATGTGGGAGGGGCAGAGGGAGAGGGAGAGAGAATCTCAAGCAGACTCCGTGCTGAGCACAGAGCGCAATGCAGGGCTCGATCCCATGACCCTGAGATCACGACCTGAGCCAAAACCGAGAGTTGGACGCCTAACTGACTGTGCCAGCCAGGTGCCCCAACATCAATGGCATTTTAAAAATTAGTTTCCATTTATTGAGCACCCACTATATTTTAGCACCTCTGATAGATGCCAGACCTCCTGGCAAAAATGTAACAAATACCTATGTATATGAATGGTTTTTAATCTTTTTGGGCTGACAGCCCTTTTTGACAACCTGTTGACAGTTTTGGATCTTCTTTCCAGAAAAATTCACTTATGTACATGCACATAATATTGCATACTTCAGAGGCGGCTTCTAGGACCTACTGAAGTTTATCCTCTAGCAGTCCATGGACTCCACGGTAAGAACTCTTGCCCTCTATAGTCTTTTCCAGCTGACTCTTCTATGGTGTGAAGGGGATGGGCAGTGGTGGTGGTGGTGGGGGTCTTACCTCCTCTCTTTCTCCTCAGAGAGAAATGTCTATAAAGCTTAGGCTCCCCCAATGAACCAAGCATCTGCAAACATTCTTTCTTTCTCTCTTGCACTTAGGACTCCAACGGAAGAATGCAGACAATCAAATGCGTGGTTGTAGGAGATGGGGCTGTAGGTAAGACCTGCCTCCTCATCAGTTACACAACGAATGCCTTTCCTGAGGAGTATATCCCCACTGTCTTTGACAACTATAGTGCCCAGACATCTGTGGATGGCCAAATCGTCAGCCTGAACCTGTGGGACACAGCTGGCCAAGAGGAGTATGACCGACTGCGAACGCTGTCCTACCCCCAGACCAATATCTTTGTCATTTGTTTTTCCATTGGCAACCCATCCTCGTATGCCAATGTGAGGCATAAGTGGCACCCCGAGGTCTCCCATCATTGTCCCAATGTGCCTGTCCTGCTGGTAGGTACCAAGAGAGACCTGCGGAATGACGCTGAGACAGTGAAGAAGCTGAAGGAACAGAGCCTAGTGCCCACAACTCCTCAGCAAGGCACTTCCCTGGCTAAGCAGGTGGGGGCTGTGAAGTATCTAGAATGTTCAGCCCTGATGCAGGATGGGGTACACGAGGTATTTTCAGAAGCTGTTCGGGCTGTGCTTTACCCTGCCACAAAGAAGAACACCAAGAAGTGTGTCCTTTTATAGCTTTTGGGGTGCTACTTGGAGACTGCACCTAAGGGGGAATGAGAGGGATTCCTTTGATAGCATTGAACAAACAATGCCAGCATGAGCCATTTGTCTCTTTTCCTAGAAACCCTAGACTCCAGGTTATTGGGCTTTTGGAGGAACAAAGACAGCCTTGTTTGTACATGGCTGCTTTGAAGTTTGGTCTGAACCTTTTGGAGGAAGTTTGGGGAGAGATAGAGAGTGAGAGAGAGAGAGACTGACTGACTGACTTTTACCTCTAAATTAGCTTTCCTAGCTGTATTTACCATTGAGTAAGTGCCTCACAGAAAGACAAGTTTCTACAGTTTTCAAATCATTGCCTTAAACTTTCCGATATATTAATTTTAGAAAATCATTTTATATGTGATTCCTGGGTGTTCCTGGTGTCAACATGTTCTTCCCATTCTGGAGATGAGACATGCTTGCAAAAATGGTTAAGCAGCATTTTTCAAAGTTCTGGGAGATACTAATAGACGTTCCTTGACAAGGTTCTGTGGTCAAGTACGTCAGGAACCAGTGGGTTTTTTAAGTGTTTATTTAAATTCCAGTTAGTTAACATACAGTGTAATGTTAGTTTCAGGTGTACAATATAGTGATTCAACACTTCCGTACATCACCTGGTGCTCATCACAAGTGCCCTCCTCCTTAATCCCCATCACCTATTTCCCCCAGCCCCCCCACCCACCTCCCTCTGGTAACCAGTGATTTAAATAAAGCGGGACTGGTTCCTCTACTGGGGGGATTTATAACTTTTAATAAGTGGGCAACATTTCCCAAATTTATTTCACTGAATCTTTTCTTTTTTTTTTTTTTTGGTTCCACGCAACACCTGTTAACATCTCTGGAAGCACAGTTTGAGAGATGCTGGGTTAAGAGGAACTAGAAAATCCCAAAGAGGCTGTGGTGAAAAAAAAACATAATGTGGTCCTGTTCTTTTTGATGTTTCCCTCTTTATGCCTTTGAGGGGAATGTTTATCAGCCACGGACTTGTTACTGGTTCCTCTTCTGCCCTCAGGAGATGAGTTTGGCACTTCGTCACGGTAGCACAGCACGTTGGATGTGGGGTCCGATGGTCAGATCTGCTATCAGATTATGATAGCACTATGGGCCTGGTGTTGTGGAATTAATCCCCCATAAAGCTGTGTCCCTGAGGCCTCTGTGAGGCCCTTTTTTTCTGTCAGCTTCTGCTTCAGGGAAAGACCACTGAAGGTTAGCCCCACAAACCAACCAACCAACCAACCAACCACCCAACCAAAATGTTCTGCCAGTCATTATCAGGGAGTTGTGTGATTCTTCTCAGTGTCCTACCTTGCTGTCTTCCTATTCCTCCCTCCTCTGTACATTGTGTGTGTGTGTGTGTGTGTGTGTGTGTATTTTCAGTCCTGGTTGCCTTTTGAGGTCTTTTAGTTGCTTGAAGAAAGTTGGAGTATGTTGGATCTCCAGACCCCGGGGCTGTCACATTTGTGGGGATTTTGCTGGGGGATTTCAGCCTGCCCTGCAGCGGTAGGAGTCAGATTCCTTACCCCAGTAAGCCTGCTTCTCCTTATTCTCCCTAGTTGTATTTTTGACCTTCTTCATTTGATATGGAAGGAAAACTTACTTCTCCACCTGGCAGATAATAGTTGACAACTCCACTGTGCACATATTCTCTTACCCTGCCAAAATAAGCATTGGATCTTTGAGAGTTTGGGAAATGGAGTTAAAAGAATCACGTAGCTCCTTCTGTGGTGAATGAAGGGTCTGTGCTTTGCTCTGGGATGGTCTTGCTGTTGCTCTTTGACATTATATGATCAGATTAGTCCTCAGGTTAACTGAGCCTCCTGGATAGGGTTGCCAGATAAAAGAGAGTAGTTTTGTTTTTGTTTTTTTTACAAATAATTTTTTAGTGTAAGTATGTACCATGCAATATTTGGGACATAGGGTCAAAAAATTATTTGCTGTTTATCTGAAATTCGAATTTAATGCAGCATCCTATATTTTTGTTTGCTAAATCTGGCACCCCTATTCTTGGAGAAGCGGAAGCTGGAGGTTGAGCAGATACCAAGTGTTGTTAGAAAGTGAAAGGTTACATAAGCTCACTATTCTTCCTCCTTTCCTTCTGGTTTTCCTTTCCCTCACCATGGACTAAAGTGTTCTGTTTTGCTTTTCCTTTATCCCTGTACTCTCTTCATACAGTAATTCATTGGTGTATATTTCTACACCATTGTCTAAAGCTGTGGAGGATCCAGGATGGATAGTATTGTCTAGTAGATGTCTTCTATCTCAGTTTCAATGTGCTGTATCTATTTCTGGCATGTGACCCAGGGCCTCCTGTTTGGAGGGGGGGTTGTAGGGGCTCTGTGTGAACAGGGTGTTAACTGGAAGAGGGTGAGGGTGGCCCTCCTTAACTAAGGCCCAGTAGCACTTTGGAAAGTGGGGGTCTATTATTGTAGTGTGGGGACTGTAGGAGTCAACTGGCCTGTGGGCACATGTGCCAACTGCTCTATGTAGTCACTGAGTTTTTCCCACGGGTGGCCAAATGAAGCACCTGTTGCTCGAGTGTATTCTGGTCTCAGGATGCTCGGATTGATGCTGCCGGAGGTGCTTACAGGACTTCATGGTTGAAAGGGGCTGGAAACAACGGCTGTCACCTGTGTCTCTGGGAACTTTACATTTAGCTACTGAAATCTTTTAAATTGGCTTTTAATTTAATAGCACCTCCTGCTCCTGCTTTGCCTGGGAAAATCTCAGATGTAAGCCTGGGCTTGGTCTGGTCAGACTCGCGTCCTCTAACGAGTGGAGGTGTGATCCCCAAGTCTGAGAGTATGATTTTGTATTGGACTCATTTGATGGTCCTGAACAGACACTGACATCTTGATTTTTATACTTAAAAGGAATTTGTATGATGACTAACATGCTAGTACCACTTTTAAATTGTTCAATAAACTTTTCTGATTTTACTGGGTCTGTTGCTTTCTAAAAATCAAAGCAGTTCCTCAACCCTCCTCCTTTGTCTTGAGTGGTTTCTAAATGCCTTTCAACTTGCAAAGGATGAAATAACTATAACTGTATTCCACATTGCACCTATGTGTAACTGTACTTATTTTTCTACCTCAGACAATCAGGGTAGGGAACTGTCTTCCCTGCTAACATTGATTCTCTTGTTCCTGCTGGTTTTCACTAATGACAGACCAGTTAGCTCCCTGTGGGTGATTTTTTTAGTACACTACATTCAATAAACAATTATCACGCTCCTATTGTGTTACAGGTATTACAGTACTAGGGACTAGGGTTGTAAATATAGGACATAACATTTAATGTCCTTTGCCTCTTCCAGTTATTTCAGGAAAATATCCTTCCTCTGTGTGTTATAAAAATGAACTGATACTGTTAATTGTATATAGCGCTGGTGCACTATTAAGTGACTACTAAAGGGGGCGCCTGGGTGGCTCAGTCAGTCAAGCAGTTGCCTTCGGCTCAGGTCATGATCCCAGGGTCCTGGGATCGAGTCCCACATTGGGCTCCCTGCTCGGCGGGAAGCCTGCTTCTCCCTCTCCCACTCCCCCTGCTTGTGTTCCCTCTCTCACTGTCTCTCTCTCTGTCAAATAAATAAATAAAATCTTAAAAAAAAAAGTGACTACTAAGGAAGAGCAAAACCATGTTGTGTTTTGTTTTGCTTTGCAAACAGCTTTATTGAAATATAATTACATACCAAAAAATTCACCCATTTCAGGTATACAGTTTAATGACTTTTAGTAAATTTTCTGACTTATACAGCTGTCACCAAAATCCAGTTTTTTTTAAGATTTTATTTTATTATTTTTTAAAGATTTTATTTATTTGAGAGTGAGCGAGCGAGCGTGAGAGAGAGCACAAGGGGGGGGGAGGGAGAAGCAGGCTCCCTGTCAAGCAGGGAGCCCGATGTGGGACTCGATCCCAGGACCCTGAGATCATGACCTGAGCCGAAGGCAGATGCTTAACTGACTGAGCCACCCAGGTGCCCCAAGATTTTATTTTTAAGTAATCTCTCACCAAAGGTGGGGCTCAAACTACAACCCTGAGATCAAGAGTCGCATACTCAACTGACTGAGCCAGCCGGGCACCCCAACTAAAATCCAGTTTTAGAACATTTCTCTCACCCCAAAGATATCCCTCATGCAGTTAATCCCTGTTCCCGCCCCCAGCCCTAGGCAACTAGTAATCTACTTGTCTTTTCTGAACATTTTATGTACTCGGAATCAAATAATATGTGGTCTTTTTTTTTTAATCAAGTAAGTTCTACACCCAGTGTGGGGCTTGAACTCATGACCCTGAGATCAAGAGTTGCATGCTCTACCGACTGAGCCAGCCAGGCACACCCAGTATGTGGTCATTTGGAACTCGTTTCCTCTATTTATCATGTTTTCAAGGTTTATCTATTTTGCAGCACCTATGGGTACTTTATTTCTTTTTTGGGGGGGGGTTTAACCAAACTTACTTTTATCTTGCAGAGAAGATCAAGAAAGGCTTTCTCCTCCACCCCACCTCCCTAATTATATTTATTTTTTTAAAGATTTTATTTATTTATTTGACAGAGACAGCGAGAGAGGGAACACAAGCAGGGGGAGTGGGAGAGGGAGAAGGAGGCTTCCCGCCAAGCAGGGAGCCTGATGCGAGGCTCGATCCCAGGACCCTGGGGTCATGACCTGAGCCGAAGGCAGACGCTTAACGACTGAGCCACCCAGGCGCCCCCCTAATTATATTTATTGCCTCTCCCATTTTTCCCCTCAGTGCATCCTAGTTTGACTCTAAGAGAATTGCTCTATTCCCTCAAAGAACTTTGGTCATTTGAAAGTAAAGTGTTCTTTAAATTCCCATAGTTCTATGTATCTTTTATATTCTATAGTACATAGTGTCAAAAAGAAAAACCACAGGCCCACTAAGGCGAGGAGCCCCAGATCAGTAAAACCAAGACTTAATACCTAACTTAACTGGAGTTTCAGTTCCACCAGGAATATAATCTTTAACTAGTCAACATGCATTTTCCTGGTCAGCACTAGGAAATTTACTCATAGGCCCCTCTGTTCCCCTTTAGAGGGCGACCTTGCCTAAAACAGTGCTTTACTATTTTGGGGGGGTGGATTTTTAAAGTTTATTTATAATCTCTACACCCAACGTGGGGCTTGACTCTTACGACACCTAGATCAAGAGTCACATGCTCCACCAACTGAGCCAGGCAGGTGCCCCTACTTCATTTCTTTTTATTGCTGAATAATATTCCACTGTATGGATATACCGTATTTTATCTACTTACAATTGAGGGAAATTTGGATTGTTTCTACCTTTTAGCTATTATGAATAGTGCTGTTGTGAACCTTTGTGTACAACTTTTTTTTTTTTAAGATTTTATTTATTTATCTGACAGAAAGAGCACAAGCAGGGGGAGCGGCAGGCAGAGGGAGAGGGAGGAGCACACTGCCCACTGAGCAGGGAGCCCGATGAAGGACTCGATCCCAGAACCCTGGGATCATGACCTGAGATGAAGGCAGTTGCTTAACCAACAGCCACCCAGGCATCCCTGTGTACAAGGTTTTGTGTGGACATGTTTTCAGTTCTCTTGGGTATATACTGGAGTGCTGGAAATTGCTGGGTCATATGGTAAATTTATACAAAACCACGTTTTGAGTCAAGAATAGCATCTTTATTATTTATAGTATGTGAAGTCCCCTTCCCCATTCTTTTTTTTTTTAGAATTATTTTTTTAATATTTTATTTATTTGACAGCACAAGCAGGGGGAGTGGCAGAGGGAGAAGCAGACTCCCCGCTGAGCCAGGAGCCCAACGAGGGGCTCGATCCCAGGACCCTGGGCAGATGCTTAACCGACTAAGCCACCCAGGCACTCCCCCCTTCCCCATTCTATAAGCCTCCATCTACCTCCTGCTGAATCTTTTCCTTAAGCACAAGCATCTAAGAAGCACTGTAAAGTACATTTAGGGTGCCTGGATGGCTCAGTCAGTTCAGCATCTGCCTTCGGCTCAGGTCATGATCCCAGGGTCCTGCAATCAAGGCCCGCATTGGGCTCCCTGCTCAGCGGGGAGCCTGCTTCTCCCTCTCCTGTGCCCCCCACTTGTGCTTTCTGGCTCTCTCTCTGTCAAATAAGTAAAGTTTTTAAAAAAATAAAGTACATTTAGAAATATATTCCATTTTGCTTTTTTGTTTTAAATATTAGTATAGCAGTTATATTCTCCTATAACTTTTCATTACCAAAGTGCAGCTTCTCAGCTGTGCAGATTTTGGCAGATGTTTGTCATCTGGCCTAGAAATGTAACTACTGTTAACATTCCAAGGGACATCCATACAATGAAGTATTAAGGAGAAATAAAAATGAATGAGGAAGAGTGCTACAAAGTGGTACACTGTGATTTGAGGCTAAATTATTAAGTGAAAAAGAGCAAGGTGAAAGAGTATATATAGTATGCTACCTTTTGTGTAATGAAAAAGAAGTAATATGTATACTCATTTGCTTATTTTTGCAAAAAGAAACATAGGAAGTACAAATATCAAGTCATTATATTGTACACCTGAAACTAATAGAATGTTATATGGCAATTACACCTCAATAAAAAAATAAACACAGGAAGGATAAACCAGAAATTAAGGAATGGTTACTTACAGGGAGTAGCTGGGTACTGGGGTAGAGGGCATAGGCATGGGAGCAAGACTTCTCTGGAAATAGCTTTTTACATACTTTTGACTTTTAACCATGTCAAAATTTACATATTTTAAAAATTAAATTATATAAAAAAGGATATTAAAAGCAAATCGTAAAGTTGAATAAAAACAGAAACAACTCCACAGAGGGGGAAAAAATGGTTCAAGTAATTTTTACACACAGTACACTATATATCCTTAATAGGATATATTCTAAGGACAAAAAACTGCAAAGAACTTCTGAACTTTACTTAGGTTTATTGTTGGTAGTGGTATCCACCTTGTAATTCTGAAAAGAGTCAATATATGGATGTTGGGAACCAGAATTTTAATTGTAAGAGAAGCAAGACAGAAATATGAAATGGGGAAAAGTGAGGGAGAACCCTGTGGTGTTGGACTTGAATTGGAGGTATCAGTATAAACTCATTTATTTATATTTTTTTAAAATGTAAGCTCTATACCCTATGTGGGGCTTGAACTCACAGGCCCAAGACGGAGAATCACATGCTCTACTGACTGAGCCAGCCAGGTGCCCTTTAACTCATTTTTTTAGCTCTCTCCACTGAAAGGGCCTATAAGCAATGATGGCCCAGTTTCTAAATACCATGCCTCACTAAAAGATATCAGGGCTCCTTGGAGAAATGGCTTATATTGGGTCTGGGACAGGAAATGTACAGATAAGCCTAGAACATCTTGTGCCAAAAAGCAAGGAAGTACTCCAAGACTAGTAACACAGGAGCCAGAGTGAAGTGGGTCCCACTGGACAAATTTGGAACAGTTTGAGCATCAAAAAGGATAATGATGGTGCTAGATTATGACACATTAAAATAAAAACGGGAGAAGGGAGGTAAGACCCAAGTTCTTTACTGAATAAATCCACTTAATAAGCGTAGAAGGAATTTAAGAATTAGAGAAATCACCCTTCTGCACTCTCCTAACATAATTGATTCAGGCAAGGATCATTAAAGGATGCTAAAACCATTGGGTGAATATTCACAGAATCTCAACCCCATTTACTTAATTACAAAAGGAAAAATGCGCCTTTGCAATGGAGAGATCTGGCGCTCAAATACAGCATCACCAATAGTGTGACAACCTGACGTTGCCTTCTGATGGCCGGTAAAATATTTAACGTAAATCAGTTCGAAGAAACAATCAGACGAATTCAGACTATGGAATACTTTGAAGACAATTTGCCTGGATTCTTCCAAAAAAACTGTAGTTCATGCAACACAAAGGCTGGTGTTTCTGGATTAAGACTGAAGGGAG